GCCATTAATTAATCAAAAAAAATTACATCTTTATTAATAACAAATTAATTATTAAACAAAAATATTAAATATAAACTAAGCAAACGTGCATTGCACGTTGCTTGCACCTAGTGTGTGTGTGTGTGTGTATTTAAAAAAGGTAAACATATAAATGTGTTGGATTAGTGCGGTTATCCAGTGGTTTGAGACTTCAAACCATGGTTGAACCGAACCACCATGATTTTGTTAAAAAAAAAAAACCAATCCAAACTAAATCAATTATCTGTGTCAAACCAATCCAAACCAACCTGAGACGGTTCAATTTGATTGGTTTGATCAATTTTTCGATTTTTTGCCCAAGTCTACACTAAATTAGTATGTTAATTTTAAAGAGTTTATTACAGCAAAATTTTAAGGAATGACTCTTTAAAATAGAGTATCTTATATTTAACGAGTCTTTAGGAGATGCTTTAAGACCTTATTGCTTAAATTTAAAAAATTGCATTATTAGTCTCTAATCTCTTCCTAAACTAAATATAAGACATTGATTAACAAAATATGATAATTAAACAAATAAAATCAATAAATGATGATAAGTCTTGAGTCTATATGTTTCTGATGCAATCACACTACGTGTATACGTAAATACAATGGTTTAAAATAATTTTAAAATATAATAAAAAAATTACAAAAATATTGAAAGATACATGTATTCTAACATATGAATTAACATTGTAGACAAATTTACTACCAAAACTCTCAGGAACAAATTCTTACAAAAACTACGAACAACGAAAATCTTTGCTATGTTAAATAAAGATTCTTTAATTTGTAGAGAGTATCGAAAAGTTGAAATGAAAATCGAGAGGTTTGTCTCAAAGTGTTAACTGAATCTCCAATAATCATACGAATGACTCTAGTTTCTTAATTATACGTCCAATCAAAACCTAATGCTGAAATAACAGAAATTACCTTTGAATTAAAAAAAAACCCCCCGAAGTGTTGGTCAAAATATGCACGAAAGATGAAATAGAACATAAGAAGGGCTTAATGGAAAGAGTTTGGCACCTCTAGGAGTCGAGAGTTTTCTTTTTCTTCTATCGTAACCATGCTTTATACGCCGGATTAGGAACAAAATAAGGAGCGCAACTAGAAGAGTTGATTATGATTCCAAAAGATTATTACAAAGCTAAATCACTCATAGGGTAACTCTCCTTTGGCATGGCATGTCATTGGAGCACTTAGTATATAAAAGCACCATTGCATGCCAAATAAGAGTAGCCCGATTAGTGGTTCGAGCTCGTTCTTGCTTCCATTAGACCACTCGAATTCATGCGCATCACAATACCAATTCGTGGGTTTTTTGGGTAGAGAAACCAAGATATTCATACATATATAAGCTGTTTTTGTTTTTTCTGGACATTATGTTCGTTGTGGTCACATTCGCATTATCATTCCTCTACCGATATTTTGGTACCTATGGACCGCAAGGAATGATGCAAAGCATAGGGGGATTCGCATTGTTGCTAAACGTATCATTTGGAAGGTTTATCGTATGATCTCCTTCTTTTATATGGGTGGACTACTTCGTGTGATGCATTGGCGAGGGGATTTGACACTTGCACCCATATTTGGTGTTTTTATAGACCCCCTCCCCCATCTCTACCTATTCTAATTTGGTGGCGTACTCCACTAATAGGATATGTCAAAATCAATACTGATGGATGCATTAAGGATGGTTTTGCGAGTGGGGGAGGCATCATCAGAGACCACGCAGAACACTGTATTAGGGCTTTCTCAATTTCGTATGGACCATGCTTGATTTTAGAGGCAGAGCTTCGAGCTATTCTTGATGGGATTTTACTAGCTCATGGACTTGGGTTTTCAATGATTTGGGTAGAGTCTGATTCTACAGTAGCTATTCACTGCATCACTAAAGGAGGAAGACCATGGGCTATTCAGGGTATACTCAGACGTATCACATATATCATATCCTTCGACAGAGACACAATTTATCACATTTACAGAGAAGAAAACCAGGTTGCAAATGCTTTTGCTGCGGAGGGTTGGGATCATCAACGATATCAGATATACGGACTACATAGCCTACCACGACATATTAGGGCCCTAGTACAACCTGACTGACATGGATTGCCCAGTGCCAGATTTTAATTTTGTTTTTATTTCCAATTCCTATTTTTGCCTCAATTTACATTAGTTCTTATTGTAAAGGAAGTAGTACTTCTTCGTTTACTGCTTAAATCTTTGTCATTTATTTTCATTGTAAGGAAAGTAGTACTTTCTCATTTATTACTTTCAATTCTTTCGTGTAACCACGGTATTCCTCCACCACAAGTGAGGGCGGATTAATAAAATCTAGGAGGTACCGCCCTCCTTGAACTAAAAAAAAAATAAAAAATGGAGCTAGAAATGACATATGCTTTTGGATATCCTAAAAGGGTGCTTTATTTCTCATTTTCCTTGAAGAAATTAAAGCCCATTTACAAGAATTTATATACCATATTCCTCCTTGCCTTTGTCCATGAAATTACAGGTAAAATTATGCAAAAAGATTTGAACGGAGATGCTGTCAACCTAATGAAGTGTAGAATTATCAGAGGCCATGGATTGGCATATCCTTTGTTATATGTTTTCTTTTTTTTTTTGAGTTTCCTTTTCAGAGATCGAAATTCTAATTAATGCCTTTACAAGATTTCCACTTTAGTTAGAGAAATAAAATCAGTTGGTCTTTAATTTGTTTGATCACAATTACACTATTACAATGAGAGCAGCTATAATCCTATAGTTAATGAGAACCTCCCACACACACGGATCCTATTAGAGTTCCACATTAGTTGGTAATATTTATATGATTCAGTTAATAAGGTGAGGGCAATCCTCCCCTAACAAACCGGTTTTGTTAGGTTGAGTTAGGCCCAATATTCTTTCTAATATTGTATCAGAGCATGCTCAGTTTTGCAATGTTGGGTGCACCCAATATCGATTTGTTCACAATTGTTTGACATTGTCCACGCTGTGCGTGAGGGAGCGCATTAGAGTCCTACATTGGCTGGTGATATTTACACAATCCACTTAATAAGGTGAGAGTAATCTTCCCCTAACAAGCCGATTTTGTTAGGTTGAGTTAAACTCAATATCTTTCCTAATTGATCCCCCAATTCTTAATGGCTTCCTTGTTAACACAAGCTTAAATCGAGATTTAACAAATCCAAAAACTCGTTGGTTTTGCGAATACTTAAGAACTTGGGGTCAACAATTTGTTGATTCCAATGGAAAATCGAATAATCTGCACAAATTTTTGAGAAACTCTTATTACTATGTACATATGGAAAGCTAAAAATAAAATGATCACAGATTTAGGTATTCACTCAATCTGGTTGGGTTTAGGTGTTTTTATTCAGCTATGCAAAAGCTCTTGATAAAAAAAGGGTCATTTTAGCTCTACTGAAACCTGAACACACATTATACATAAATAGGGTTGCTAACTTGTGCAGAGTAGCATTTTAAGTAATTTGGCTAAAAATAAAGCACTTATGAGTTATGATGTAATAATCTCATTTCAATTTCGAGGGACAAGATAATTAGCTCTCTCTCTCTCTAGATTAATTTCCTTCAGTGGGGATTTCTTTCCTGCAGTATTCTTAGTCCCATATACCTGCATCACAGCATAACAAGTACAATTTAAGTCCAAAGTTAATAATCAGAGTAATCAACTGTCTAATTATAGTTAGTTTAAAGTGCTTATAATTACCTCCCAAGCATCATAACAGTAGCTTGAGGGTTAGTTCCCGGGCTGTTGTCGAATGCCGAATCATCAATTACTGTAATGAATCGACGCCTAGCACTTTGTAATTTTGATCCACAACCTTATAGTCATTACAGTGTCGACACAAAATTGTTCCATGGAATAAGTTGGTCTCACATGTTTAGGCCTTAGGTTAACTGGAGAAGTCAACGTCATGTTCATCAGAGTTTGCATGATTGCAAAGGGATAACGAAAAGTTGAGAGAGATCTCAATTTCACAACTTTTCTAACTATTTCCGAGCCTTGAACACATCTTTGAAGGTCTCTTGGATATTTGAAGTAGTTGAATGTGGATCTTGGGTTGTCATTGGGATCCCTATTTTGGAGCTCTAGACGGCCATTCGAGAAAGGTCCCGCAATCTTTTCTAGGATGACTCCAGCTTGAATGTTCGCATATCGGTAAGGGTCGGCTCTCGACATGGCTTCTTGCGTACTTTCATTGAAAGGTATTCTGAAATAATGATCAGTCTACATATTTTGTAACATTTAAATTTACCTAAAACTTTCGGTTGATGTAGCGATGAATCAAGCAAAAACAAAAAGTTATTGGCTTAACGGGCTGACTAACCTGATTTTTGAACTTTGAAACTTCTTGGGCAATCCTATGTGCCCAAACCAACTCAAAAAATCCACTAGCTGCTTCAATAAAACTACCAACTTGTGTTATACCCACCACTTGAATAAGGGAAAGTTCAACGGGCAGAGGTGAAGGACTAAAGACATCATTCATTGAGTTATCAGACATTCCTAGGCCTACATTTGGTTGATCCAATATCACTTTTACACCTTGGGATTTGAGTTACTGAACTGGACCAATTTAACTTAACATCAGCAATTGCGGGCTTCGAAGTGCACCAGATGATAAAATTATTTCATTCATGGCTCCATTGTTCAAATATGCCATGTCTAATACCATTTGAATCTTTGAAGTATACTCCATAAGCTTTTGGTTTCAACGCTGCTATGCTGTCAGGTACTCACAATAGGGTCAAAGATCGTAGCTTCAACTAGCCCCTGACCCAATCATAGCCGCAGTTTGCCCAACTTCAGCCGCACAATGTAAATATTTTATTTCAATTGTAAAATAGCAGTAATATTGGAAAACGTTTAGTATGATTCCTCGATATTTAAATGTCTAATCCTATCACTTAGGTTTTTGTTCAGAATGCTATTATAGGGGGTATTAGTATTTCGAACAATCTTTTAAGCTTTCTGGTGTTCTCCCCTGCACCATCCATTGTAATTTCCTGCTTTCATCAATTGTAATTTCTAGCTTTCAAGCAATCAATGATCAATTTACATTCAATGCATTTCAATTTCATGTTGCAAGCTTTCTACAAATTGTAATCAAATTTTTTTTTGTCCCGAAACGACCGAGAGAAGGTGAAAGGTAGTCTAGCGGAGCAGACTACTACCGCACGGTGTCCCTTTCTGTGTCAAGAAGGAAGGCACCCCGTGAAAGTTGATATTAGAGCTGCAGCTCAAGCCTTGATAAGAAAGCTATGGATCCAATTGAATCGAACACCATAGAGGTGGTAAATTCTCAAAAGAGGAATACGAAACAGCGCATGGATGTGCTTGAGATGACAACTACTAGGTTGTACTATGCCGTAGATAGCCTCGACGAAAAAGTCGAGGTGGTAGAGACGAAAATTCGTAAATTACACATCCAGTTGGATGAAAGTCGAAGGGCTTGCACAACAATGACCGAAACTGTTTCTATCCTGCCTGATCTGTAGGATGATATAGAAGCATTGAGAGTTGAGTTACTAGTTCCTCAATGTGCGATTGGCAATGGGCAAGCCCCCGTATGAGAGCATGTTCCTAGGCTCAAAATGTTGGAAACGTATACCTACAGAGAGGCATACGATGCAAAAGAAGTTGAGATCTTCTTGTTTGATATGGAACAATACTTTCTTGTAGTTTCGATTGAAGATGAAGCAAGAAATGTTACAACAGCAACCGTGTATCTTGGTGGAGATGTAAATCTATGGTGGCAAATAAAGTATGCTGACATTCAGGCAAATAAGGTCGGAATAAATTCTTGGGATCTCCTCAAGGAATCGATCAGATCTCAGTTTTTTCCAGAGAATGTAGAATATTTGGCACGACGTGCACTACGAGAACAGAAACATACAAGCTCCATCAGGGAATATGTGAAAGCCCTTTCAGGGCATATACTAAATATTCGAGATTTGTCGAAAAAGGATAAGATATCCACCTTCATGGAAGGGTTGAAACCGTGGACACATATGGAACTTTAGAGACAAAAGGTCACTGATTTGAGCGCGGCCATGGAAGGTCACTTTAGAGATAGAAGGTCACCTTCATGGAAGGGTCGAATGCTTAAGTGTCTATCAATCGAAATCGAGAAAAAATCGACCTTTGAGGAATAGTCAAGCTATTGAAGGTAGAAATAGACCTTACAAACCCAACTCGAATTCAAATGGGGGAAAGCGTTACTTTCAGAATAAGGGAGAAGCCTATTAAGGTACCCGTCAGAGTAACTTGAAGGAAAACTATCAAAAGAGCTGTCAAGAAAACTATGACGGTAGCACTAGTAACAACTGGAATAAAGGAAATGTAACGAAGGGCAGATCTGATGCCACTCCTAAATTAATGTGCTTTTTTATGTGAAGGACTCCATCGGGTGGTAGAGTGTCCTAAGAAACGGATGGTGAATGCATACTATCAACTAGCAAGTGGCGGAATGAGTTCAAAGTAAGATGTCCTACAAGCTAGCTGTCACGGTGGGACCAACTCTAAAAAGGATGAGGATGTAGTTGGCGCATTCTCACATAGGTGCAATACACTATCGCGTCGAGCTATTAAAAAGGATGATGTTCCCTCGAAAGAGATAAATATGGAAGAATTGAAGGCTTGTATTTGTAGAGTCAAATACCTAATTTACATTGATGTGAAGATCAATGGAAAGGTAATCAGGGCTATGGTAGATACTGGTCCTACTCATAACTACCTTGCAAGTACCGAAGTAGAGCGGCTCAGATTTGTTCTGGAAAAAGGTAATGGGAAGGTCAAAGCAATCAACTCTACTGCTCAACCAATAGTAGGAGGAGTGAAATCCGTGTTAATCAAAATAGGTCCTTTAGTAGGAAAGACAAATTTGTCGGCAGTTCAGATGGATGACTTCAAGCTTATTTTGGGATTGGAATTTCTTCGGGACACTAAGACAGTAGTGCTGCCATATTCCGATTCATTAATGATGCATCACCATGACACAAGCCTGGAAGATGGACGAGAAGAATATCTCGACCATGCAATTTGATAAGAGTTTCAAAAGAAATGAATCCTCATTTTTGTGCACTCTTCGATTAGATGAGATTGAGGAGGCAACTGGTCCTATTCCATAAGCTTTTGGTTTCGATGCTGCTATGCTGTCATGTACTCACAATAAGGTCGAGGACTGCAATTTCAACTAGCCCCTTGATCCAATCGCAGCCGCAGTTTGCCCAACTTTGGCTGCACGTTGTAAATAGGTTATTTCAATTGTAAAATAGCTGTGATATTGAAAAACGTTTAGTATGATTCTTCGGTATTTAAACGTCTACTCCTATCACTTAGATTTTTGTTCAGAATGCTATTATGGGAGGTATTAGTCTTTCAAACAATCTTTTAAGCTTTCTGGTGTTCTTCCCCTGCACGAGCCATTGTAATTTCCTGCTTTCATCAATTCTAATTTCTAGCTTTCAAGAAATCAATGATCAATTTACATTCAATGCATTTTAATTTTATGTTGCAAGCTTTCTACAAATTGTAATCAAATTTTCTTTCGTCCTGAAACGACCGAGAGAAGGCGAAGGGTAGTCTAGCAAATCAAACTACTGTCGCACGGTATCGCTTTCTGTGCCAAGAAGAAAGGCACCTCGTGAAAGTTGGCCTACATTTGGTTGATCCAATATCACTTTTATACCTTGGGATATGAGTTGCTGAACTGGACCAATTTAACTTAACATCAGCAATTGAGGGCTTCGAAGTGCACCAGATGATAAAATTATTTCATTCATGGCTGCATTGTTCAAATATACCATGTCTAATACCATTTGAATCTCTAAAGTATACTCTATAAGCTTTTGGTTTCGACGCTGCTATGCTGTTAGGTACTCACGATAGGGCGGGGAGAGCACTTTTTTGGAATTTTTTATTCACATAGGTCTACTCCCATGTTAGGGTCCGTCAACCTAGGTGACAAATTCTTTTTGATAAAGGAGCTTAAATCTTTTGGTTTTTGACCTATATCATTGCAAAATATTTGAAGTTATCGTGGAATTTCTCACAGTACTTTTTTCTCAACGCTTAACACGTGGAATTTTCAATTTTAGGTGATCATAAAACTTAGGCCCTATTTGACTACCATTTCTTGTGAAAAATGAAGTTTTGAATATTAACTTTTAGAAAGAATGAGTGGTTAAAAAGTAGGAAAATATTTTTGGTTTACGTGTAGAATATTTTATTGTGTAAATATGTGGTTAAAAATAAGATGTAGAAAAAAGAGTTTGAAAAAAATGGTTGTGAAATAGGGACTTAAATTCATGATTTTTATCTATTCTGGCACAATATCGAACTAGAAGTTTGAATAGTTACAAAAAGGAGAAGTCGAGCCATAAAAAAAAAAAACCAGAATCATTGTCTTCAAATTGCAACTGAAATTAGTGGCATAAATTGGAAAATACCAGAGTCTGGACTAGATTAAAAAGGAAAAAAATAAAGTTTCAACATTATTTTTGTCTCCATGTCAATAATATGGCCAACACCATCAACTAAATAAAGCCGAAGAGTATATGTTGGGAAATATCATCGCTCTTCCACACAAGGGGTTGGGGAAGAAATCGAACAATGCAATCAGTCCACGTGAATCGGTTGATGAAAAACCAGAAAACAAGTGAAGAAGAACTTCGAAGAACCGAAAACAAGTGATCAACAATTTCAAAAATGAATCAATAAAGTTCAAATACGATATCGCTTTCCTCAAACGATATTTGACCCCTCTCGATGAATTTGGTGCTTAAAGGGTTTCCCTACAAATGATTTGTAGGATTTATCGAGCCTTGTAATAGAAACACTTAAACACTTGTATTTTCTACCAAAATTTTAATAACACAAAGAGGTATTTGAATATAGATGGAAGAATACTGATTCTTTGTTTTGGAATGATTTTATCTCAATATTTAATAATGTTTCCAATATATTTGTATTGAACTCATGTTATCTATTTATAGATAATCATCAATACCCACGAAATGTCGCCAAAAAACCATCGAAAGTTTCCAACTTTTCACAAATAACCACCAAAATTCAAACAAGAATGGTAGTCCAACGGTCATATATTTCTTCTATGTGACCGCATAAAAGAATCCTATACAGTCGCATAGAAGAAATAGATGTGGTGCTGAAATCCCTGCGCATTCACTTGCGGCCGCATACCTTTTGGTCTATTCGGTTGCATAGATCAATGTTTTGACTTCCTTTTCCAATTTTCATTCCAACTCCGTCTTATTGGTTTTGAAAAAAAATTCCAACAATATATACTTTCGTTGATGATTGTATGGGAGTCCATAAAATTAAGAAAAATAGCACATTGGTCCTCAATCTATTATTCTAGTAGCAAATTAATCTCGACCTAGCAAATTGATTCTCAACTTTCAACTATAATTGCACAATCAGTCTTGAAGTCATTAAACCTTTAAATTAATTTATGCTAAACTGTCATGTGAGACTTATGAAAGC